ATTAAAGCCGTTAAGGAATTAGAATAGAGGCTTATGCTAATAAAAAGTCATATTTATTTTCCCCAAGACTAGACAATGTCTTTCAAACTGTAAACACATACCAGGAAACCAAGTCATAAAAGACTTATAGATTTGTCAACATAAAAACTAGAATATGACACAAGATATTATAGATAAAATAAAAGCAGTGGCATTATGCTGGGAGGCAGTATTCATGATATGTAACATAAAACATGAAATAAAACTAAAAATATTTTAGTTTTTAGAACATTTTCAAGTTTATCAATAGGAAACTGGGGAAATGGCAGCAAAGAATTTCACAAAAGAAATACAAAATAAATATATGAAAATTTTTAATGATGTAGTAAATTGCTCTTGATATACAAAGCGAAAAGAGTATTTCTTTTTTTTATTTTTATTAGATCATAGCTGTGTACATTGATACAGTCATGGGGTACAGTGTGCTGTTTCTATATACAATTTGAAATACTTTCATCCAACTGGTTAACATAGCCTTCATGTCATTTTCTTAGTTATTGTGTTAAGACATTTATATTCTACATTTATTTAAATGATATCAGTATCATGAAACTCACATGCAAATATAAGTATGAATTTATATTCAGAGCTACGTCCACAGCACTTAATTTTACTACATGCTTTCTATTTCCTTTTCTAATAAGATGTTATGTGAACAGATCAGGGAAATAGCATTTGGAATGATATCCAGAAAACACTGAAAGTGGACTTTGGGGGTGAGAATTTTATTTTTCTACTTTTCTATATTAAAAGAATTCTGCAAGCTGTATGTGTTTGTATATACACATAACCCATCATACCATATTAAACATTTTATGTCTTACTTTTTTGCACATAGCATTATATTACAAGCTATTTTCCACCTTATTATATACTTTTATAACATTTGGTTTTGTTGCTGCTATAACATTTATTTAACCATTGTAAAATATTTTCTCACACCTGAATCCAAGCAATAGTTTCATTGTATTTGAACTTCAAACGTTTCTCATGAACTTCTCACCTTCCTTCCCATGAACTACGTTAAGCTCTTCCAGGTGCTGATAGAGAAACCTTCTAACATGACTGTCACAGATGACCTGCCATCTTGGGAGGTGGCAAGTTCTGTCTGGTTCTCTGCCATCTTTAGACACATATTGCATGTGTGAATTATAATCTAATTGTACTAATTCCACCAACATTTATATAGAAGTTATTCCATAAATTGTGCCAAATGTTGGGGTCCAAAAATGAGTCAGACGATCTCTGCTGTTTAGAAAATCACACTTTAATGCTGAATGTTGTCTTGTCTGTTCATCAACCTGACCATCCATGCACTTACCCAGTTCTTTGAAATCTCATACCTGAATCAATGTTTTAAAATCAACACATCCAAATCTATATATCCAAAGGCAGGTATTCATCTGCACTATGGCTATACTCATGTGATGTCATTTTTTCTCAAAAGAGAAGAGAGTTCATTCAGCCCCACTTTCAGAGCTGGTTCCCCATCATAATCGAGAACATTAATTTCAGTGATTCCTGTCAGCTCCGAATCAGGTTCACGGTAGCATAATAGGAAGAATAACACTACCTTTTAGAGATTCTAGTGGTTAGTTGGGCCATGATGGCATGTGGCTAGGACCTAAGATCAGATTGTCAGTTAGCACATAGATTTATGAAGACCACTTGAAGTGGATGATGCCAGGGAAACACACACATTTTTACGAGTGATGAACTCTGGTTATCTAGAAAATGACCCTGGAGTACAAGGAAACTTTTTGCCAATGCTAAAAGGTGGAATAAAGGCTTATGCTAAAGGCAGGTTTTATGTCATTTTAACATCCCAAAGTATCGACATCTAGCTCTTCCAATTCTACAAAAAGGAAAAGACATGGATCCTCAAAAACATACTAAGGGAGAGAGGTTTGTCTCTAGACCTAGAGAGCATTAAAACCTAGAAGAGCATTAGCCTTAGCTATGGTCATAAAACTATACTAGACACATTGAAATACTTTGTCTAGAATAATGCCCCAATGTGTGTTTGGCCAGTGGAAGGATTACCTTGTAAGGATGGGCATCTTGTCCAGTAATATTCTAATCACCTCATAATCTGGATTGAATGGCTTTTAGTCTTTGGGGGCATCAGAATATCAATGAACCTTTTTATAAAAATGATGTCTCAGCTCCACCTTCAGACTCTTAGGATGGCTTGTGGGCATCTTTATTCTTTTTTTTTTTTTTAAAGGTTCAAACTTGACTGATGCAGAGAAATGGTTGAGAACTGTCATTTTATACTAAACTGGTTAGGAAAGTAAGGACCGGACAAAACCCCAGAAGAACAGTCCAGGAAGACCCTGACCTGGCACCAGGTGGTGCTGTGGGCACAACTCTGAGCCTCTTCAGTTTCCCCAGCAGCTCCCATGTAACACACCAGCTCCCACAGGGCAGCAGAGGGACACACAAATCCTAACCTTGAGTGTTCCACTTGTATTAAGGGAAGGGAAGATGGAGGGAAATCAAAGGAAGGGGTCCTTTTTGGAGAGGTTCACAGTCACTTTGGGCTGTTAAGTGATGAAGTTCAAGTTTTAAGTTGACTTTATGAATTGAAAAGAGACAGTGATCAACTACACACACACACACACACATATATATATATTAAGTAGAAAACAAAATACATATTTGTTACAAAAAATATTAGGATATAAATACATAAACAATTCATGTACAATTATTAGAAGTATTTAAAACTATTCTGTGACTATTTGTATGGATAGAAGGAATTTACATCGACTGTTTCACCTCCTCCCTGCTGGACTATGTATTAATATCCTAGTATGTTTTTGTAACTCCAGTGATCAACTATCCTGGTTTGCCCTGGGCTAAAATGTTTCATTTTTCAAACAGGACAATTCTAGAAAAGCCCAGACTGATGGTTTGTCCCCGTCCTTACGACCCATGTGTGCACTTGAGCAGCTGTGCTTTCCTGTTACTCTTCCCTCTAAGTAGGACTCCACGCCTCTTAGTTTTCACTTCATATTTTTTTGAATTAGCAAGTAATACAGACTTCTTCCAAAGATTTTAAGGGAGAACTAGATGGCAGTGTTGTCAGGTAGATAGTGAGGGACCTCTGGCTTTTCTTGGGACAAAGGTGGGCAAACACCTGGGGAAGGAGGACTGCCGCACCAATCTGCCAGTCAGAACTTAGGGGGCCAACTGCAAAAGAATGCAGAGGATTCCCCAGTCTTCCGCCAAGCAATGCAGCAAGCAATAAGGTCTGGAAGGTGACTGACAGTAACCTAAGGGTAGGTATCACATCGTTAGCTTAAATCTGCATTGAGGTTTCCCCGCTAAGTGGGCTTTCAGAGAGGCTCATGGGAGACGGACATGCACAGTAAGACTGAAGTTTTGTAACTCCCAACTCTCCATCAAAGTGATTTGATGGTGATATTTGAACCATGAGGAGGGCCCAGCCTAGACAATATTAAATAGGCCCCAGACCATAATTGAGGCTTCCTTTTTTTTTTTTTTTTTTTTGCAGTTTTGGCCAGGGCTGGGTTTGAACCCATCACCTCTGGCCTATGGGACCGGCACCCTACTCCTTTGAGCCACAAGCTCTGCCCGAGGCTTCCTCTTATATAGTCTGTGGTGACTGTACCTTATGTTGCTCAATAAACTTTTTTTTCTTGCTTGTCTTTCTGTCAGTGTGTCTGGTCATTCTTTGGCCAAGAACACATCAAGAACCAAGAACAGACGGCTAACCTGACACTGTCAGGGCACAACTATCCGTATTTCACTCAGAATAGTCTCATTAATTATGTCCTTTGATTAATCATGTCTCTTTCAGGCTGTAATCACCTGCAGTCCCTACCTTCCATCCCCTTTGTTGGTTCCTTTTCTTACACAGGGAAATTTTTATCTCTCTTCGCTTTTTTCTTTAGACACCTTGTAACACCCATCATTTTATGATACTATTCTGAGATGTGAAATTTCAAAGATTTACTTGTCTCATAGAAAGAAAATAATATCTAATATTAAGAGAAGAGTGTAACATTACTTATAACATAAATATTTCTTGTTCCGCTAAATCACATATATGTGTGGTTGGACATGAGGTTGTCCATATGAGGTTGGACAATTAAGTTCATGAACAGGGCTCTATACCGCATTGCTGAATATCACTATGCTCGCGGTCACCTTTGAAGTACTCTCTTGGCCATCTGGTGACCATAGTGATATTCAACAATAAGGTATGTGGCACTTTTTCTAGGATGAGTTCCCAAAATTAATTGTCTGACCTCACATATCCATTATCTCTGTTATCTGTCTATATTTCTGAATAGACAGATGCACACATGTACACACATTAATATTTTTCAAGTTAGTACTTTGATGAAAAGTTCATATTTTTGCACACAAGTCTCAGTTTATAAAAAAGACAAATAAAAGCACTGTGATTCCCTGAAACAGTAAAAACTAGATGCAATCAATTGTTGAGAATTTAAGGGAAATTCCTGCTTTGCAAATTGGATGAAGTGAGTCTCCCTTTAACCTTGTTGTTCTACCCAATTTCAGCCATGGGCTCTTTCTCACAGTGACTGTCAGTACATGAACACCCTGTTCTCATTTCATAGTGACTGAACTTTCAGATTTCCTCTTTATTAAGTGGGTAAACTTGTCAAGTGATATGTAAATGATTCACAGTAGTGTTCGAAGCTCAAACCAAGGAAAACTGTGGGTCTCACAAAATGTTTGTCAGAGTGCATTTTTCCTTTAGCAAAGAACATTGGGAATCTCATAATTAATTTCATAAGCAACAATGGAACAAATGATAGCCGAAAAACATTAGATTCTATTTCTAAAAGATTGAAAAAAATCAAATTAAAAGATAATACAGTCATTTTTTGAGTTGTCCCTTTCAGAGAGGTGAAAGGAATATTATCAGGATGAATAATTAAGATAAAATGGTAATTAAGCTTCCACAATGTTTATTCTGTTCCCTCCTTTCCAATATTCTTTAAGTTTCTTTGTCAGTAACTAATAATTTACTCTTGTTAAACCAACAGAATTGGCAAAGATGTGAGGGAGGGGGGAAAGGAAGAAGTTCTTGAGAGTTATTAAAGCACCTACTCATTTTCACTGAAGATTTATGGTATATAATTTAAGTTTTATGAGGTCCTTTTTTTTAAGTTGGTGAATAGATTTTTATTTATTTAATTTTTCATTAAATAATAACTGTGTACATCACTGCATTTATGGGGTTCAATGTGCTGATTTTATATACAATTTGGAATGCTTACATCAAACTGGTTAACATAGTCCTCACGTCCCTTAGTTAATTGTTGTGTTAAGACATTTATACTCTACCCTTAATAAATTTGACCCTTGAAATATGCACCATAGGTGAGGTCCCACCAATTACCCTCTTTCCCCCCAGCCACGCCCCTCCTACTTTTCGCCCTCCTCTTCCATCCTTCATTCTGGGCTCTGGTTGTGTTTTATCATTTGTATGAAAGTATGGGTGATTAAGTGTTGGTTTCATAATAGCACTGAGTACATTGGATACCTTTTTTTCCATTCTTGAGATAATTTGCTAAGAAGAATATGTTCCAGCTCCATCCACGTAAACATAAAAGAGGTAAAGTTTCCATCTTTTTTATGGCTGTGTAATATTCCATGGTATTGGATGTGGAGAAAAGGGAACATCCATGCACTGCTGGTGCTTTTTTAAAAAAGTTTCATTGAGATATAATTCACATACAATTACAACAACTTTTATTAGTTAAAGAGATGATTCTCAGTGAATTCATTTCTGAGCATTGCTTTGAACCATTCCCAACTATTTTCAAAGACTGTGTTCTGTCTACTCTGTCACCATGAGCCCAGGGTCTTGTTTGTCAGGAGCCATGATGATAGCTGTGAGAGTAAAGAAGAGGATACAGGGTCCTGAGACCACCCCCCACCCCATCAGCAGTCATTTTTGCTCCTCCGCAACTGAAGGAGTGAAGTTGGTGTCTCAACCATCTGAGTGAGAAGACAAGATTCTGAAGCAGGCCCAGCTTGCAAAGTTATTTCTATATGTGCTGGGGAGACACACACACACACACACACACACACACACACACACACATATATATTTCTATATGTGCTCAGGGACCAGAGTAAGAGAAAGAGAATCACCTCACTGTGTCACTTTTCATGCAGGATTCCATATGGTCCTTGTAGCAGCAGGACAAGGGATATAGGATCATTATATAGTAATAATAATATTTATTGTTTATTTGATTTAATGTTTTAACAGAAGATAAACAGTATCCCAGAAATGTTTAGAAACTTTCCCAAGTTTTTACTCAAAGTTCTGAAATAAGAGAATTCTGACTCCAAAGCTTGAATTCTTTCTACTTTATCAAAATACATTTACATATAAGAAAAAAAAAGAAAAAGCATTGCTGGTAGGGGACAACCAGGGAGATTGCATGATTTACTGGCAAATGATTTTTGAAGCAACAGAGCTTTGCAGACTATGAAGCTTATAAGAAAACAAATAAGGAATTAGGCTCAGTTCCTTGGAAAGGACGACGGAAGTGAGGGCCCGGCGGGTTCAACTTGGTTGGCCACACTGTAAATCTCGCTCCCGGTTCTACCATTTCTTAATCAGGAGTTGACCTTTATACCTTGTGAAAAATACATTTCGGAAACTTCTCTTGCAATGAAGTGTACAGAAAAAAAAAAGGCTTACGGTCAATAATTACCCAGACAAAGTCACTTCCGACAACTCACCTAACAGTGAAACTTGTTCAGTTACCAGGGACAGGTTTTGTAGTTACTTTATCTCCTAAGGTTTCCTTGAAACATCACCTATTGCTTAAAGTTAAACTTGAGAGATACATCACTGGGGATATCTTATAGCAATAGTGGGGATTTGATAAAAACACTGTATTAAAAGTTTTCCATAGTGAAGGAACTCAAGCCTTGCTCTGCAGCCTTGCAAGTTGGTACATGTAAGCCTTAGTGGGGGAGAAGGAGAATTGTGGCCCACATCACAGCATGGTACGCGGAAGCAGAGTGATCTGCTCCGGCAATAGTTTAGCTACTCATCTCCATTTTCTCAAGGGAATGTGGCTCCCATCTTTTACTTGGCTGGTTATTTGGGTCTTCAAGAGAAACAGCTGGCCTGGCTCTTTATGGAAAGAGAAACTCAGTTTGGAGGAACGGAGTATAGTGAGCTTTACGGGACCAGGTGGTCTGTCCCATCCTTTGGGGCCTGTAACGTGATGTGTGTGCTTGTCTTAGAATAGGGAAGCAGATGGCTGGACCCACTGCTCTCCACCCAACTCGACAATTACCCTGGGGTGAGATGACATCAACACACATTAAGAAAGAGTTCTGTAAAAAGATTTACCGTAAAAGGCGGGGCTGGGGATGTTATTTCCAAATTGTACCTCCTTTTTACTCCTCTTCATTCCTGGTAATACTGGTGCTTCTGCTAAGTGGTTTGTTTGTATCCTCTGGTCCCTGGGAAGCTTGTGACTAGTAATGTTTCTCTTGCTGTGGTCACTCTTAGAAAGCATGGGGCCAAATGAGTGGGCCATTGCTAGTAAGTGTTCTGGAACTTACACATGATGTTTGTGGAAGTACTTTTAGCCTTATCTTCCTCTCGACTTCCTGCAGATGATTCCTTAATTTATTCACTTTCTTGTTTTAGTTTGAACTTTTTTACTGAAGAATAACATACACTTGTTTAAACTTGTGTTATTTGAATATTTGTAAGTTTTCTCAAATTCTTTAAAAACCAAAGCAGCGTGTGAATCTGTATGTGTGTGTCTGAAAGCACGGGTGTAACATGAACGCACTGGGGGGAATTTAAATTAAAAAGATGAATATCTATGGATAGTCAAATATATGCTTAGGTTCATTCTAAAAGCAATTAACCTTCTTAGGTTAATTGCTAACGTATAACAGATACTTATCAGAAATCTTAAAATATTCTTTTACATGCTTCTATTTCCATGCAACATCCCCTGAACTTTCAAATGACATCCTACCCATTTTTTGAATGTTGATTGTATATTTCTTCTTTATGAGGGGAAAGGCAAGGTGCAGAAAGCATGATATAAAATCAGAACAAGCAGGTCCAGCCTTGGCAGTGGGCTTGATTCCCTCTTGCCTTAGCCACACATCACATCCGAATAATCCTGGTTTGGTAGGAAGACATTTTGACACAGTCGTATCAACAAGATGATGCATTAAGGAAATGTTCCGAGTTACCAGGGTTGGAGGCATCATATGAATACTTAGGGCACCCGGGTCCCTGCTTCCCTCCCTGGAGAATCTCCTCACACCATTTGCTGGGAACAAATGACTGCTGACATTTTCCCTGTCAAGCTGTTAGGCTTTTTAAATATTTGGTAAGAAAAATCAGAGGTAACACACAAAGTATTCAGTAATTGGTGAGAGGGTGTATATACCACCAGTGAGAGACAGCCACTGGCGCATCAGAGGGTGCACTGGGGTCGGGTAAGGCCCACAAAGGCCACATACACCCTGGTCATGTCCAGCAAAATCGCAGCCAGTGAATGTCTACGGTTGATTATGGTTCCTTAGTGAAGCTTTTATGCCGGTTGTGCAGGCCTTCTGTATCAGCTGCTTTTACGAGCTAATGCAATGTGATGTGGGTAGGTTTGGCATTTGGGGGGATGAAGGAAAAGTCTACTGGTCCAACAGTCACTGTCATGACATTTTATTATCCACTTTCAACTATCTGAATTACAATCTATGTGGATGTATTTTTAATACCACCTAAGTCAAGAGTAAAATATGCTACAGGTTGTGGAAAGAGTTAAACACTACAGATCCTTGGAGATTACAGATGTCAGAGGTGTTTAAGGACTAATTAGAAAATACTTTGAACCTGCCAGGTAGCTAACAATAGCAATTTTCACTTGGTAATTACTACAGTAACCACTTCAAAGGACACATTTTAAAGGAAGAATTATTTTGTAATGCTTCCCTGGCTACTCGTTTCCAAACACCATACTCCTCCCCTTCTTAAAATCTTCTGGAATCTTTTGCTAAGTTGTACCTTTGGTAAATCTTTCCAGTTGCTTAGGAATCAATTTAAATAGTAAAATAAACAAAGGGTAGCACGTTGTTTATTGGTTTTTTGAGGAAAAACGTGATGGATCATGTGAAATCGGAATAGCTGTTTTGGAAAAGGCATATTGAAAGACCCCATCCCAAAGTGAATGAATGCTAGCCCCCTCTTACCCCGCTTACTCATTCCAACAAAGACGACCTCATGCTTTTGTGGACAAAGTTTTAAAACATGCTATTTTGGACAGCAGTTGCCATTGAGTATGGAGTTTAACTGGGAAAAAACACAGGGCAATGGTAAATGTGGCAAGTGCGGTTTGCACCTGTATAAACAAGCACTGTGCTTGGCAGAGCAGCAGCTTGGTTCCTTCCTCCTGCCAGACCAGGGCTTTTATCCAACTTTATCCCACCTCTCTCTTCATTCACAGAGAAACACATGCAGATTTAGAACTGTGGTACTGTGAGGGGTGTGTGTGAGAGACAGAGAGAGAGTAGGTGTGTACCTACAGAAAGATCAAGATGGGAAAGATTTGTTGAGGTACCGTGAGAGCAGCTAGGGAACCACCTGGCCGGGGAAGGATCTTACTGCGATGGCTTTCAGAATGTGGTTTTCAGCACATGCCCTGCAGAACCACATCAGTGTCATTTGAAAACTTTTCAGAATTTTTGTGCACAACCTCAGACCTTCTTGCTCAGAACCATGATGGTGATTTCGGCAGACCATGTCTGATCAAACCCTCCACCTGATTGAGGTTTAGAGCAACTGCCTTGACCTTGATGGATAATGAAGACCTATGCTTGGCTATCTAAGGAAAAGGGATAATCCACAAAGCACTACAGCCAAGGACCGTGTGGTGCCTTGGTTTCTGCCAGGTTATGATCCTTCAGGACCGGAGCTACATAGGGCACCATTCCTGACTTTTATGTAGTTGAGGACTTGTAACTATGTTTCACTGGCTTATAACCATTTTTCACTTCAAGGATTATATGCCTCAAAGGAACCTTGGATATCAATTGTTCATTTTTCCTTTTTCCCCACAAAAAATGAAACAGTTTTAGTAGACTGCTGCCTAATTTAGTTTTCCATTTAAAATATACTTTATCTTTTGAAAAATACTTCTTCATTTAAATATTTTTTTTCTCATTTTAATTTGATTCGCTAAATTTTGCTGAGGGACCTGAGCTCAGTTTTCCTCCCTCGAAGTTTTGGCTACCTGGCGTGCTAAGAACTTCTAATTTTGGACGTTATATTTGGTAAACTCAACCACAGAATTTTGAAGATCCGCCAGGAAACTTGTCTCGGTGAAATTTACATATTGCATAATTCCACTCCTTACTCAGTCTTTTGATGTGGTTTCCCCTCTCCCAGGAAAAAAGTTGCTATTGCAACATTTGAGTTTTTACGTATGTCACCTTACAACTTTTGCATTTGTTTATTTATCAAACAAATTTGTTTATTTATCTAGAACACACGCTTCTTTTCTTTTCCTTTCCTAATCTCTAGTCCCTCTTTTCTATCTTCTTTTAATTGGTTTTTGTTTCTTAGGTACCAGAAAAGACTTTTGCGTTCTTTAAAAAGAATGAACTGCTTTGAATTAAAAAATCAAGAACTTAAAGTAGGGTGTGACGAAAAAGAAAGGGCAAATGTGAAGGAAGTGTGGTCAACACACAAAGGAGAACAAGAATGGGCCCTCTGCGTAACTGAAAATGTGACCTGGACGGTGGGGCAGCCTCGGAATGTCCCACTGGGAACCTGGGGTCTGAGCTAGGGAAGAGTGATGGGCTGCGTGTGTGGTAGCTATAACACGCATAGGTAACTATTTCTAAGTCAATGACCTTGCAGGTTAGTTAGGTACCATTGCTGAGACTCATTTTTCACTTTGAAAATCCAATTTAAAATACCTATTTTGCAGTGTTGACATGGAACCAAGAGAAGTCCTATAGGTAAAGAGAAGGCTGAGTCATAGCAATAAGAAACTTACGATTAGTACTTTTAGTTAGAATTCATCTGGTTTCATAGCTGTGTAGTACTCTACCATATTAAAATACTACAGCTTATTTATACACTCAGATGGTGGCAAAGGATATTTTCATTAGTTTTAGTTCTTTGTCAACATGCATGATGGATATTCATGTGTATCTCTTTGATGCACAGATGCAAGGTTTTGCTAGAACAAATAACTGGGATTGGAATTCCTGCATAGTCGATTCTGGGCATCCTTCCTAGATAATGTCAGATTAATTTTCAAGTGGTGACACCTATCAACATTTCCCCCAGGAGTATATAGGCTTTCCCTTTGTCAATAATGGATGTCACCATTTATGTTTATAAATTTGCTGGGTGGTAATTGTGTTTCATGTGGCATTTTCCCAATTATTATACCTATTAGATTCAGCATATTTTAATATGTGTAATATGTGGGTATTTGGGGGCCATTCATGTTTCCCTCTTTTTTTTTTTTTTTTGCAATTTTTGTCCAGGGCTGGATTTGAACCCGCCACCTCTAGCATATGGGGTTGGTGCCCTACTTCTTTGAGCCCTGCCCATGTTTCCCTCTTTTTAAAAATGTTTATCTACATCTTTTCTCAGAGATTTCTATGGTTTTATTTTGGTTTTGATTTCTGGGAGGGGTGTCTGATATATTTTGGGAACCAATTTCTTTTTCTTTTTACAGTCATATGCAATGGCCATAAATTCACCCAGATTTTGGTGTTTGTTTTTACTTTTGTAAATGGTGATTTTTGATACACAAAATTTCCCATTTTGATATGTATGTGGGCTTTGTGGTTTGCATTTTGCATGTGTGCGTCCCTTGCTGAAGAAATCCTCTAGGAAGCATAAAGATAATCTCTTAGACTCTCTATGCAAATTTTAGAGTTTTTCTTTTCACCTTTAGATTCCTTAATCTCTTGGAATTGATTTTTTGTGTGTGTAAGGAATGTACTCTATTTTCAGCATCATTGGTCTCATCACTGTTGAGTGATCATTTCCACACCTCTCGGCATGTCGTATGTGAGGGTGGGTCAGTTTCTGGGGTCTTCATTCTGTGTTCTCGATATATTTCTGTTCCGATTCCATGTCGTCGTACTTAGCACACAGTAATCATAAATGGTGACATCTGGTAAGTCGGGCACATTCCTTTTCATCCTGCCCTTCTTCTGGGTTATCTGGAGTACTAATCATTTCCTTTGCTTTTCTACATAAATATTAAAATAGCTTAAGAAGTTATGGTTGTTTTATGTTGTTGAAAACAACATACATCAAAACAACAAGCTTCCAAACAATATAGGGTACCTGATAATATAGAGAATTTTAATATGTTAATTAAAAAATTAAAAAAATTAAGACGCATTTACCAACACAAACATACACCTGGCATGTTACAATTTATTTTGAAATTGCACTCAGTATATAGAAAGATTTGGGGAGAATTTTCAGGTTTGTAATATTTAGGCTTGCCGTTACTAAATGGAATGCCGGTTTATTGAGGTTTTAACTTACTATTTTTTTTTATTATCCTTTGGGTTTTCATTAGTTACTTTTTATGGGATCATTAATGCATTTCCAGGATTTCTTATTGGTATTAATCCAGAATTTGAGCACTTTGCACTGACATATTTCAGGATATTTAGTCCAGCATCCTATCAGAAGAAGAGGGCCCTCATGTTTTTATAAGCAGTCTTTAAAATGTAAGTGTAACACATACAAATATTGGGTATGTTTGCTTGACAACCTGTACATGTATGCTTACAAAATACTTATCTACTTACTTTGTAGGTGGAAAAATGTTAATCAGTGAACCAGCCCATTTTTGGTCAGGAGGAATCTCACGGAGTAGGTCTGAAGAAAGTTTTGTTGACATGGAAGCCCCAAAATTCTCCAAAAATTCCAGTATTCCAGGTACAGGAAATTAGAACTTTGTAATTTTGCCCGCGCAAGTGAATCAATCCATCCCCAGTAGCTGTTGAAGGTCTCCCTCTGAAAAGTGTTACAGAAAATTGGAAGAATTACCAAATGACAATTTTATCAGAGAAATAGTTACACTATTATAAAAAATGTGTACTAAGTAAAATAGCAGTGAATAGATTATAATAAACATTATAGAGAGGCAAAGATTTATTAATGAATGAGTGGTATATGAAATAATTATAATGAATTTTAAAGGTAAAAGAGAACCCTGGATTGCCCTAATCAATATTCATGAAGGTTTAAGAAAGTTAGAAATAAACGAATTGGAGAAAAGTGTGGAAATTAGAGAAATACCATTTTTGTTTTTCAAAATTCATCTTCTAATTTTTAATATATGACACTTCAGTGCCTTTCAATCTAGATAATAGTTTTACATATATTAAACAAAAAGTCTTGATGACTTACTTGAATTCTTTTTTCCTATAGAACTTCTCATAATTTTGTTGGCTATTTTAGTCATTATTTTCTCTAACGCAGCATCAGATTTACCAAATCCACAGTTACTACTACTATTCATGAGAGAAATGATCAATATGAGATGCTATAACCATAAAAACATGGCCTCAGTATTGTGGGACTTACAAGGATTCTTATACTAGAAATGGGAATATTTTAATGTGTTGCTAATGCCTAAAACACTCACTTTCCAAAGTAATAACATTTCTATTCCTCATGGTAAGACCACTCTGTCATTGCAAACCCACAAAAGCTTAATAAATTCCATAAAGACCGTTTCATTTTTCATAAGAAATTTCAATGTTATTAAAATTCATCAATGCAAATTTTCAGAGAATGAGCTAACGGTGATTGTTTAATTCAGCATATCATTTTTAACAATTATTTTATCTTTTAACAGATGTATTTGATTTTTTTCATATTGAATGTTATCTAAAAATAAAAAAAACATTTCATCAATATTCTAGCCGGGATGAGATCAATTATTCAATGTTTAGGAAAATCTGGGTAACTCCTAAACATTGGAGATTGGCTTTTGTTAAAATAAAACATAAAATAATAAGTCACAAGTGCATGCTAGTTGGGTGATTTTTTAAGGGAAAATGTTTAAAAATATTATCTAAAGTATTAAATATGTATTTCTTCAGTTTATACATCATGATGTCTTAAGATAAAAGAGCATTACATGTGGTCAAAATCACTTGGTAGAAAATTTGTCTTCTCCTTCCCTGCAAATGGGACTAAATTTACTATTGAGTTTGTGCTAGCTAGTAGATCAAATATCCAAGAGAAAAAAATGAAAATGAAGTCCTGAGATTTTAAGCTATAGGAAAAATTAACCTGGGTTCTATCTCAGAATGCGACTTCATCTTTGTCTTGCTTTGTTTTTCTTTGAATAACCAGAATGTCAAGACCCAGACCTTCCTCACAACTGGCCAGATGCTTTTGCTTTCCGTCGCCATAATGCATCCAAAGTTACAAATCCATTTTGGAATGAACTGTCTGCTTCTAACCCATTTTTGGATGACATAACTCAGCTAAGAAACAACCGGAAGAGAGATAATATTTCCATCTTGAAGGAAGATCCTTTTCTTTTTTTAAGAGAAGTAGAAAATGGAAACTCTTTTGATTCCTCTGGTGATGAACTTGATGTGCGAAAATTGCTCAGGCAGTCCTCCTCAAGGAAATCTGGACGATCTAAAAGTGTTTCAGAACTTCTGGACATTTTAGATGACACAGCACACGCCCCACGGAGTATACATAACTCTGACCAGATCCTAGCACAAGACTTAGAATGGCTTCAAAATGACCGAGAGGCTTATAAAATGGCCTGGCTAAGTCAACGCCAGCTGGCCCGCTCCTGTCTGGATTTGAATACCATTCATCAGAACCCCGGATGGGCCCAAACACAGGTTGCAGAGATCACCATAGTTTGCAAATTAAACCACCAAGGAGGGTCAGTCCAATTACCTGAATCGGACATCACTATTCATGTGCCCCAAGGTCATGTAACTGTGGGAGAATTCCAAGAGGTGTCTCTAAGGGCTTTTCTTGATCCTCCACAAATGCTTAACCACAATCTTTCCTGCACTGTGAGCCCGCTGTTGGAAATCGCCTTGAGCAACCTTAATACCATGGAAGCCATTTTGCTGGAGATGAAAATCGGGGCTGAGGTGAGAAAAGATCCTTTCAGCCAAGTCATGACAGAAATAGTGTGTTTACATAGCCTGGATAAAGAAGGCCCTTTCAAGGTGTTAAGCGGCTGTTACGTTTATAAAGATACCATCCAAGTCAAACTAACGGACCTGAGTAAGGTGATGTATCTGGTGGTCGCTGCACAAGCTAAAGCTATTCAGTCCCCAGCGGCCACCGTTTGGGATTATATCCACAAAACCACCTCCATTGGGGTTTATGGACCCAAATATAGCCATCCTAATTTCACCGTTATTTTCACGGTTTGTGGACACAGTTACATGCCAGGAAAGCTTACAATCTCTGATATTAAGAAGGGTGGAAAAAACACATCTCCCGTGGTATTTCAGCTCTGGGGGAAGCATTCATTTTTACTAGATAAGCCGCAAGATTTAAGTATTTCTGTGTCTTCATGTGACCCTGATTTTGAAGTAAAGGCGGAAGGAGAAAGCAAAGAAATTCCGCAACAGCAGTTGGAGGCGGGGAGAGTGGTTCATCGACACTTTGCGTTCGCTTTAGCTGCCCGGCGAGACATGCACTTGTTTGTTTTCCGTGTTCAGGTGGAGCCTCCCCATGGCCAAGCAGTTGCCCAGTTCTTCATCACTACACCTGATCCAGCCCCGAACCTAAAAAGGCTCTCAAATCTGCCAGGTTCTTTGCGAGAGGAGAAGGAGATCACGTCTGCTCCTTCACCACCACAAGTGCTTGTCAACTATCCCACCTTTCAAGATAAAATATTGAACTTCACCAAGTATGGGGTCACCCTGAAGACAGTCCTGAGAAAAAGCAAGATTGACTACTTCCTTGAGTATTTCAAAGGGGATACAATAGGACTTCTTGGAGAGGGTAAGGTAAAAGCTATTGGTCAGTCCAGAGTAAAAGAATGGTACGTGGGAGTCCTCAGAGGCAAGGTTGGACTTGTGCATTGCAAAAACGTCAAGGTGATTTCAAAGGAGCAAGTCATGTCTATATCAGACAGTGTCTTTACAACCAGAAATCTTCTTGAACAAATTGCTCTGCCTTTAAAAAAACTAACTTATATCTACTCGGTTGTCCTGACCTTGGTGTCGGAAAAAGTTTATGACTGGAATGTTTTGGCTGATGTCCTCGGTTACCCACATCTGGCACTGGACAATTTGGTTCCAACGCAAGCAGACAAAGAATCAGAAAAAGTTTCTTATGTTGTAAAAAAGTTAAAGGAAGATTGCCACGCAGATAAAAATACAAGGAAGTTTCTTTATGAACTTACTGTGGTGAGTACGGCTTAATCATAGTAATGTATTTACTATAGAGAACTTTACAGCAATATTTATAACCAAACATATGAGAGAAGAAAATTTTTTAAATGAATGATCTCAAATAAATTGAAGCTACTTTTCAGCAGATGTAGAGATTTTTCTGTATGATCATGTAATTGGTTTTTAAAATTCGAGATTCAATTGTGATTTTTACCGAAAACAGGCTCCCAAAGATCATCTCTCCAAGGAACATTAGAGGTTCTGTTTTTGCTGGGCTTAACAGTTAAGAGATGGCTTCTCTTCCTCTCTCAAATATTTAGACAGCCCTTAGGTCTCAAAGAAGATCTATAACATGAAAGCAAACATGAGCAAATTGAACCCAAACTAACTTGGCCATGCTTGGAGGTCCACTTTTCAGTATTTTAAAGAACAGATCATAAATATTCTTTACTTTACCAATTAAATATTTTCCTGCATGTTATGTGTGTACATTACATCCCAAACAAAGGGATTGTTAACTCTCAGCTTCATCCTCGTCTTTTAACAGGACTCTCAAAGTCATCTTTTTCAGCATAGCATTTATCCCAGACTCAGTACAGTGTTATAAAGAACCGTTTTGTCATTAAAGTAAAAAATTAAAAAATGAAGAGCATATTTCTAAAACATGGTTCAAATGTGACTGTATCAATCATAATAATAATGGCACCTAGTATTTCTGTAGTGCTGAATACCTGGTACACATTGTCTCACTGAGCCGTATAACAGTTCTATGGGGTAAGCAGAGGTAGTAGCATCTTCATCTTACAGCCCTGGTGTAGGAGTTAGGCTACTTGCTGAAGGCCCCACCATTAGTTTTAGTCAGAGGTGATATTTGAAAACACTTTTCCAAAATTATACTTAAAACTGCTATGTCTTCTTGAAACAAAATGTAATGCATGTGAAAATGGTTGTGTAAGTATTATACATATGTTTATGTGTGTGTTTCACAGAGCATTATAACGGTGAAAGGACAGTACTCTATAGGAGATGAGTGAGATTAGACAGGTAGGTTCATGCATTATACCAAATTCTAATCAAGCCATAAAAGGAGAAAATATTTGGAGGAGAAATGTAATTTGTGACATAAACAATAATCTATATGCTAAGGAGAAAAAATACATATGAAACATTTTCTCTCCATTATTATGATTTTTTGATGATTCCCCAGCAATACTGACAAGGGTTACAATTTAAAAGCTCCACTGCCCAGTTGCGAGGTGGACAGTTGTGTTAGGCGTGCTGCATTTCCCAGGTCTCTGGGCCATCAGAGTCGTGGAGACTGAATGTTTTCAGCAGAGAGTTCATCTCAGTGGACGTGGCTCTACCTGGTGGAGGCTGTACACGCACTTTACAATAGTTCATTGCCTCTCATAGCTCATTTTCAGTATGCACCCGCAAAGATTCCAAACAGAAAATTGTGGGGTTTTTCTTGGTGGCTTAAAAATGTTACATCGTCCAAATGGTCTGAAAATTTAAGCCTTATCGTCCCTGCAGTTTAGCGGGTATGATAATAATAGAGTGGCTTGAGTGGCTGATTAACTAGACCATGTGTCAGAAAGTCTATTCAAGGGAGGAGTTCCCAAAGGAGCCCCACAGCTCATACTGTGACTCAGTGGAGGCTTCAGGATTTCTGTATGAGGGGCAAAGTACTAAAGCCTGGGGTAAAGAGTTGTCACTTGAAATTTTATCTACATAGTAAGTGTACATTTTTCTTGGATTATATATTTACTTGGAATGGCAAGAAGAGAGCCAATAAAGCTGGCAAGATTGCGGGGTCTAATGTCTTTAGCTGTCTCTAGACCTTGAAACTGGCTGTCCTCATATACTTGACACTTGACCTTTTCTAAAGCACCTCGGCATCAGATTCAATTTTCATAATGATTATGAGGGATTAGAGGAGGTGGAATTGCTACTGCATCCACTTTAAAAATCATTAAATAGAGATATTAAGTGATTCACTTAAAGTTCATGTAGTTTATGAAGCTTAATTTTAAACTAAGCTTCTGTGACTCAGAGTGAATATTTTTTCCCCTAAAACAAGAAACTGGCATACCCACCCCACAGTTCCCTGGAAGCACCTTCAGGGGTCTGCTGGCTCAGTATTATTTTTCAGGGAAGCCGGCACTCCTCGATCTGAAAGTATGGCTCAGTATAGTATTTGTATAAAACCCACAGCTAGTCCTTCTAATTGTATACTTCCATGGGAATGAACACCGTGGGCTTTCATAGTTGCCTCCCTTGGCCAATCATTATCATTTATTGTTGCCTATTGGTAGATAAAGTTTCTTGGTGCCATTAAATGAGAGGGGCTGCCAAACACGTTCACAGTGGTCTTATCCGCTCTTTCACTTTCTGTGGTTTCAGTTACCCCAATGTCTCTTTTAAAAGAGAGTCCACATTCACATAACTTATCACAGTGTATTGTTACAATTGTTCTGTTGCATTATTAGTTATTGCTAATTTCTGACTGTGTAAATTTTAAATTTAACTTGATAATCAGTGTAAATGTACGGGAAAAGGCATAGCGGACATGCATGTAGGTTTGTTATGATCTGTACTGTCAGGCCTCCTTCCCAGATAAAGAAGGACTACTCTATTTGCATCTTTGAACAGAGAAAAGTTACAGATAAGTGTAATCTCCTCGTTTTAAATGTACTCAAAGCAAAACAGAGACTTGGAGACTTGTTTGAAACATGATGATGAGTCACAAAACTCAAATGCCTAATAAAGGAAGAAAAAAAATAGCATGATGGGTGCTTATTTTGCAGTGTAGAAGACTAAGTATTTTACCTTTAACACCTTGTGGTTTATCTTTAATGCAATTATATTAGTGTTTAGTGAGTTTTTTCTAATTTATGTATTTTTCAAATGTATAAACATTAACAGCATTGTTCGATTTGAAGGAGAGTCTGATTTTTATTCAGCAGGTATGATTCTGGGACATTTTTAAATCATCTTTTGATGAAAAACAGAATATTTACCATCATCAGTGTGATCACTGTAGAGAAATCCCATAGCCCATCCTCTGGTAAAGCAAGGCATTATTTTTTGTGAGAAATAATCAACCCCAGTTTGATAAATTAGGGACTGTTGGTACTCCAGAGTACCTTTGGAAATGTCTAGATTAACTTCCTGCTATTACAATCCAAGATATTATTTATATATTATAATATAAATATATAATATAAATATAAATATAAAGATATAAATAGCATATTAGTTGAGTAGTTTACCTAACACCCAATTTGTCACTGAGAACATCTCCAGTGTCCCCTAATTCTGGTTTGGTAATATCCACTGTAGTTTCCATGTTGAATTTACTTAAAAGTGAAAGAAGTTTTTGAGTTTTAGAAAACTCAGTTATATGTGTTATGTGTGTTAAAAAAAGACTTCCATTCCTAGAATATGTCATGAAAAATCTAATATAGAAGAAAGCTCAAATTAGTTGCTTTTAATTATGACACGTAATCTTTGCTGCAGGCTCTGCTAAAGATGGATTGCCAAGGGTTAGTAGCACATCTCACCCAGGAGGCTGCTATTCTGACTTCAGCTGTCAAACTCGGAAAAGGCTGGAGGGAACTAGCTGAAAAGTTAGTACGACTCACAAAGCAACAAATGGAGGCATATGAAAATCCTCACCGGGGAAAATCTGGGGAAGTTGCTGGAGAGGTAAGATTTTAAAAATTTAACTCAATAGTGAAAAGTTGGAGACCAAGTAAAACCAATGTAATCAAGCCTTACACATTCATAGATTAATTGTGGGAGTAGCCAAGGTGATTCACTGAAGTCATTGCACCAGTAATCAGAAATGCACATACATCACTCTTTTTTTTTTTTTTTTTTGAGATAGAGTCTCACTTTGTCACTTAGGGTAGAGTGCTATGGTGTCATCATTGCTCACAGCAACCTCAAACTCTTGGGTTTGAGAGATCCCCTTTGTCTCAGGAATCCCCTTGTCTCAGCCTCCCAGAGTGCTAGCATTATAGGCATGAGCCACTGCACCTGACATGTATCATTCTCAAAAGGCATTTAAAATACTGATGTTTCTCCTGTTGGATTTCATATTAACATGGTCTTTGATGAAATGAATTGATTAAATTGGGTCATGTAGGCAGGTCTAGAAGTATATGAGGTATAAAACAGATACATAAAGGGAATAGATAGAACCACGTCAGAACAAGGGAAGGAGATATAACAGTAAGTATTTATCAGCCTCAGGTTAAATTCAGTCATTCGTGATAAACAATGCTTGGTGACAAGAAGCATTAAGAGAGTAGATGTGTGGAGCTGCCAGGAAGGAGAGATAGATACTAAAAAGCTTTATTATCTCCTTCCCAATTTTTTGTACAATAATTTTACATAGACATCAAATGCATAATAATAGCACTTAGTACAAAGTAAATATTTATCATACAAATAGTGTTTTTATTAATATTAAAATAAATGCATGCACATGTTAGATAAAATATTTTCTGTAGATTATCAGAAAGAAATCTGAGTCAATTTTTATTACCGAAATAAAAATATTCCACTGCTGAGCACGCATACAATGGCCGGCTGTGGCTCTCTGTCACGTGAATGTGAGCGTTTTGAAGATATTTAAGTTTTGGAAAATATTCTCTCTCCTATTACATGCTGACTTGGTAAGAGCAAAAGCTATATTTTCCATGTTGCTGTGAGGCATGGAGCTGGGTATTAATATTTGGAGAAAATTTTCTTATTTTGAAGTGAGTATTCTGGACACCTTTGCATGAAGAGTAAAGAATCAAATCAAGTCTGGTGAATCCTGGCCGCTGTGGGGAAGTATCAGCAGGTGGTTTCTGGGCTCCGAGAGCCTGGCTCTCCAGCCAGGACTCCTCTGAAAACAAGGTTCATTATCCAGGAGCAGCCGGGAGCTGAGGGCATGCTTCTCCCTCCTGGACGACATTTATCTCCATAGACTTAGGAGGAAATTGCAGCCTAGAAATGAGCGCAATACCGCATCTGGTGCGGTACACACAGTGTGCTCCAGTGTTCATTGCATGAGCTGAGAGATGAGAAACCCTTAAGAAGGAAACAAGAACGGTGTTACGAGGGATATGTGCTTCGGATTCTGATATTTCAGTTCGTCGATTTAAAAAATCATCTGATTAAAAGTAGAACATTTTTTTTCCTTAATAAGTCTCTGTTTTTGAATGACTTTTGGTGAGGATTATTTATCAGAGAGTTATTTATTCTGTCAGCCCGCTTAAGCATCTGGCTTCTCTCTAATTGTGGTGTTTATACTTTTGTCTTCCTCCACATCTTGATGGAGGCCGGCAAGCCGCCTCCTTTTCTGTTATTTACTTTGGCACAGCCCCAGTCACAAATGACTAAGTCTCTGCCTGAGGTTCATAAGTTCCCAGAGACAGAAAGAAAAGCCCCGAGGTGTCCTTGTATGGGCTCTACTTCTAGTTATTGCGATTAATACTAACAGTCATCACTCTGATCCATGTTGTTAAATGCTTTGAAAGAAATTCATGGTGTATTGGCCCAAGAACATTTTCAATAATCTACAGGAATCTTTGCCCGTGAGTCCACCTAACTGATGGGCAAATATATGTTAATGTTTCCATTCCCCTGTAAATAGCTCTACATGTTTTTTTTTTCTCTTTAATGATGGCTGGGATCGATGACTGCTACACTTCAACCAGGGGCTGCACTGCCACGCTGGGCAACTTTGCCAAGGCCACTTTTGATGCCATTTCCAAGATCTATAGCTATCTCACTCCTGATCTCTGGAAAGAGACAGTGTTCACCAAGTCTCCTTACCAAGAATTCACTGACCATCTTGTCAAGACCCACACCAGAGTCTCTGTGCTAAGGACCCAGGCTCCAGCTGTGGCTACAACATAGGGTTTTTATACAAGAATAAAGTGAATTAAGTCTGTTAAAAAAAAAAGGTGATGATTTTTAAATATGACCATTTTGTAAGTCTAGCAATTAATCTGAAAACATAGTGATATTAGTTTTGGGTAGGATGTGCAGAGGGAGGGAAGTGAATTGGGTTGGTGTGATATCAAGGTCTACCAGTTCCCCACTGCTTTGTTTCCTTTGTCTCATTTCCTCAGTGGGCACAGGTGCCAAACATCGCTCTCTCTGTGCCAGCACCTGCAGCCAGGCTCTTTCACTCACTCTCTCCCCTTTCCAACTTCCTTCTCATCCCTTTGTTCTAATTTTATTGTGTCTAACACACAGTTATCTGGCACTTACTCTGTGCCAGGTGCTATTCTGGGAACATTACAAAAAATTCATTGATTTAATCCTTTCAACAAAAACTTGTGGGACAGATACTTATATTCTAAAAATATACAGAGGGTAAATAACTTGCTAAAATGTGCAGAGCTGCAAACTCATGGAATCAAGTTTAGAGCACAGACCTTGACTTTGGAGCCCATGGCCTTTAACCTTTACACTCTACCTTCCCTCCCCTATCCACTCTTCAATATGGCAGCCAAAGCAGAGAGCTGGGAGATATGGGCAGGGCTGGGATGTGTCCTCTTTTCCAAGCCACACTATGGTACTACCAAAGTTTGCCCTGACATCTTTATCAAGCCTCAAGCTGGTGAGAGATTAAAGTATGTTAATACATTTGTCATATTTCTGTGAATACTTTTACCATTTCTTATTTTTTTTTGAGACAGAGTCTCACTATGTCACCCTGGATAGAGTGCTGTGGCATCAGAGCTCACTGTAACCTCTAACTCTTGGGCTTAAGCCATTCTCTTTGCCTTAGCCTCCCAAGTAGCTGGGACTACAGGCATCCACCACAATGCCCAGCTATTTTTTATTGCATTTGTCATTGTTGTTTAGCTGGCCTGGGCCGGGTTCAAACCTACCACCCTTGATGTATGTGGCTGGCTCTGTAACCACTGAGCCTGTTATTCTTTTTTTAAGAAGAGGAAAACTCCTCTCATTGTAGGTTTCTGAGGACATCACCTTTTAATCATTTCCTCAAGTGAAATTTTAAGAAATGATACTCAACTTTTTATATGACTTTGTAATTTTATAAAACCATAAAGCCTGGAATCTTATTAGAAACCAAATATGTTTCTTTTGAAAAACAAATATGCTTGTGCTATACAAAAATGTTAGCTATTGCCAAGATTTTTCTGTGAAAGTTAGTGAAAATTTCTTGGAGTTTTTCTGAAGATATTTATAGCTTTGATTTTTTTAAAGGAATCAATAAAATATTAGAAATTTAGTCTCCTGAAAGGTTATGTTTTACAAGGGGAAGTACTGGGATTTCACGGATGATCTTCACATAGCCTTCTAGGGATTATTATCATTTTTACAATTGGCCCCTTGTCTGACAGTATAGCTTATGTTTTCTGTCTTATTCAATAGAGACCTTTATTACCCAAGAATACTAAAAGTTCACTTCCTTTTTAAAATTATCTTTGCCCACTGGGCTCTCCCTTGACCATGGCACCAATAGTTCTGTTGAAGATGATTTGTTATCTGATGGCCCGAATGGGCCACTTTCCCAATGAAAGCCCAGTGAAGTTAACACTCCTGATGGTTTCCCACACAGAACCTACTTCCTCATAGAGAGTCATACTTGATAAGGTGTGTTTTCATTTTTTTGTGGTCACCATTTAATCAATTCTAGCCACAATCTTTTCCTCATAATTTTCTGACTGGCAGGTTGACTATTCAGAGTCCCTCATTCTATGCCTTGATTAAAGTGGCTGATTCTCAAACAGCTAATTTTATTCATTTTTTTATAAGTCAATGAAAGATTCTTCATGGAATTCTTACCGCTTGTTTCGTATCTTCCTTCTATGTCCCTGCCTTCAGTATTCAATTCATCTACGTGTTCAGGGCTTGTGAGTTCTCAGCAGTGATGTACGAGCTATTTCTTTTTAAATACACACAAACAGAATTAAAAACACAATTTATTTATCTTGAAAGAAATTTTTATTTTGACCTAGGCATCAGGGTAAACTGTTACATCTAAATGGCTGCAATGTTTTAAAGAAGTGCATGTTATCATTACTGAGTGTTAAATGAATGTCAACTAATCATTAAGAGCATTTTCTTTATGATATCTCATCTCAACAAAGTTTGTAAGGAGGACATTATAACCATTTACATATTACATATATGCAAACGAAGAGTGACATTCGTATAATTTTTTAGGGTTACATAGTTATGAAGTGAGCTAGCTCTCATTTGAATCCAGCTTGTTTAACACGAAGTTCTGACCACTGTGATGTATGATGCTAAGCCCTTTCAGAATTAACTTACCAAAACAGGAACAAAGTGGTCAGTAGCTATAGGAGACACATCCTGTAGGGTAGATAGTCTATGAATAATTGTAGAGGACTAGAAATTGATGTTAGTGTTTCTAGATACTGACAAGTTCTAGAGAACACTGAGAAGAGGTGAGCTAGAGAGGCTAGTTCATCTTTTTAATTACTGAGAGATGTGGAGCTGTGGTCAGTGTCTATAACTACCTACCTGAACATAGGGGTTAAGATTCCCAGCTGGATTTCTGGTCCACTTCTACAATCCATTAGCCTAAAACTTTGGACAAATTGCTTGACTTTTCCAGGAATCTAATCGTTTTTGTAAAGTGAGGGGAATAATGCTGTCTTACTTATTGGATGTTTAGAAGATCAAATGAGATAATCTATATGAAAAGTTTG